AAATTCCATCTTGAGAGTGGTGAACAGCTCTTATCACAACAAGGGAGGAAGGGCAACATATATCACATTTGTTATGATTCTAACTAAGTGCAGATACATTCATATAAGTTCATCCTTCATCCTGAGCAATTTCCCACTCACCTGATCATAACTTCAAAGAGCAAGGCATCAATGGAGCACACATCTCACAATATTTTTCTCAAAGCAAAGAAAGAACTATGCGCTTTTACATTTTTACAAATAAATTGCCCCTCAGCATGCAGAAAGGGTATTATCTATTCACAAATATATGCATTTTCATTAAAAATCATATTTTTTCTGCAGTAAAAACAATTGCAGTGGGCTCTACCTCCTGGAGTTAAGCTCCCTTCGCTTTTTGCTTGGTTAGAGCTCTCCCAGGTCTGTACTGGGAAGTCAGAGCCAAACAGATATTAGACATGAATAAAACAGAAGTTCTCTTTGAAATTATGTGACATTTCCATATCAACTGGAATAAAAACATTGTGGTACCCTTGATCTGGTTATGTGGAACTGAGCCAAGCAGTGAGATACTGTGATGTTTGATGTTCTGCTGAGGGTTAGAGTCAGGCGGCCAGCTGGTGGCTGGACGGACAAACGTCTGAATTCCTCTAAACACTGTGGTCAACAACACACAGAGAGATCTGAGGCAACACACATGGGGGTGTGAGATAACAACACACACCAACACGGTGTGTTAAAGGTGATGTGTATCTCTGTTCAGACCATGCAGTATCATGGTCAAATGCTGTCCTATCTGTAAGCTCTTAGTGTTCAAAATACATCAATACAAGTATATTCACATAGATAACTGAATATTTTGTTTTGACTTTTACATTTAAAGAGGACACATGCTAATTTTCAGGTTCATATTTGTTGTGCCTCTGCTGTGACATGTTTACATGCCTTGATGTTCAAAAAGCTCTTTATTTTTCTCATACTGCCTGTGCTGCAGTACCTCTTTTCCCCCTCTGTCTGAAACCAGAGCCCAGTCTGCTCTGATTGGTTAGCTGGCTTGCTTTGTTGTGATTTGTCAACCGCTTACAGATGTGTAAGAAACGTCCTGTTCCTTATAGCCTATAACGTGCAATGTGTTGGAGCACTAGCCAATAGAAGCGCGAGTGTTACATAGTGATGTTACAGAAGTAAACAAAGGAGTGTGTGGGAGAGAAACTCCTTCTGGTGGCAGAAGGACAAAATCATAAATAACACCCGACAGGAAAGAGAAAACCCCAAAAAGCATAATATGGGAAAGACATCGAAAACATTTTATATAATATGTTTGATAGATAAATAAGTCAATTTTCTTAATTAGCCACCGTTTTCCAAAGCCAGATGCTCATTGTTGTTATAGTAGGCATGAAGGCCGGACAGCTGAACATGTTTTTATTAAAGAAACAAAAACCTGCAAACTTTCATCATATTATGCTGAACATAAAGAGAATAACACACCTTTTCTGAGTGCCATCATTGAAGAAGAAGAAGAAGAAGAAGAAGAAGAAGAAGAAGACGAAGACGAAGACGAAGACGAAGACGTGGGACAGCCGGAGCCCCAGACTGCAAAACTTTNTCCTCTAACAAGACTTCCATTCATTCATGCTTGATGGTTATAATAATAATAATAATCATAATAATCATAACACATTACATTTATAAAGCGCTTTTCCTGGTACTCCAGGAAAAGCGCTTTATAAATGTAATGTGTTATGATTATTATGATTATTATTATTATTATAACCATCAAGCATGAATGAATGGAAGTCTTGTTAGAGGAAGAATGTTGTAGAAGTTTAACTGGAATCTGCATAAATAAGGTATGATGAATAGTTGTTAAGGATGATGTGCTCAGTTTCTGTATACATTATTAGAGCTTTTTGTTAATGACACATTTCAACATGTTATATTGTTAAAAGTGTGCAATGCCTTTCAATACAGTTTTTGAGAAGTAAATCTTAATCATTTTCCTCTCCTTTTAACCAATTTAATAAGAGAAAAAATAATGCATTTCCTATTTGTTTGTGATACACATACAAAAACAATCTCAGGATAAAGCTGGAAATAGTAAACAATATTACAACTTTTTTGAAATAACTCTTCGTATTAATTTATTCGCTTTAATAAAATGTGCCCATGTGTTATTTACTGTATGTTTATAGATTAGATCCAGATGTATGTGTGATGATGATAGCTGATATGTTGATTGGTCGTGTCCCACATGCAGACCCCTTGATCCACCAACCATCTGACCGCCTCTTATCTGTGGACATGATTTAATAATTGGGCGATCATGCTCCCACTGCACCGAGATCACTGACTATGTGTTATACTATCAATACACTCTGGGTGTTAAGTGGTTATAGTTAGAATTGTTTATCACAGCATTATTTCTCCAAAGGAGCACTATTTAATATTGAGTAAAATTTCAATATTCAATCTGCTTCTCTGCTTCACTTATAATTATTTTTTCCTTGTTCAAGTAGAAATATATTATGTCCAATTCTTAGA